TTCAAATTTTCAGGAAAAGAACTGCTTCTCAGTGAACGATTGATCCAATTTAATACAGGATATCCCAAAATTTCAAAACAGTTGTTCAGAACCTTTTCACTGTAGTGATTTTGGCACAGTTGTTATTTGATTTTAAACTGTTTATTTTTTTTTTAGATAATTCAATGATACGCTGTGAAATTTTGAAAGTGTATGCAACATTTCCCCCTGGAAACTGATTTTCATATAGTCAGTTGCAGCATTGGCAGTACCCACAATATCAACAATACTTTCCACAAAATGTTCATTTAGTTTGCAATCACCAAAGAATTTGTTTCGGTACCGTTTTCGAATTGAACTTGATTTACACAATCATGCCGCTTCGAATTGATCAGTCTTTTTAAAGTCTTCCACATCTTTACACTGTCGCACTTGTTATTATCGATTTGTTTATCGTATAATTTCCTTTTTTCTTCTCTAATTACATATACACATTTATTCCTAAGAGTTTTATATACCTTCCAATCATCATTTGATTTTGTGAATATACATTTATTGTATTGTTTGTCTCTCAAAATTTTGAGCTGCCTTAATATTCTTGTTATACCAGGGTGTATTTTTTGTCGAGCAAATCACTTTTTTATCAGTTGCAAGATCTAAACAAGTTTTTATATTTCCTATTATGTTGTCATATATTTTTTCCATATTCTCACCAAAATCACAATAGCAGCCAGCAAGTTCTCGTTCAAGTTTTTCGTACTTAATAGTATTTACGATTACCAAGGGCAGCAATGTCCAACTGTGATCACTAACTTTAGGTGTATGTACAGCTTTAATCCCTGCACATTCAAAATTTACAACAACAAGATCTAACAAAGTCTCTGATAATGATGTTATTCTGGTGCTCACTTCAATTTTTTGCTTGAACAAATAGTTATTTATGGTTTCTTTCAATTTTCTTGTTTTCATGCTTTTACCATAATAATTTAAATTAAAATCACCTAAAAGTATTATATTAAATTACAACGGGACGCAGTGTAAATGAAGATGGAGTTTGTTATTTTTGGCCAATTCCCGAGTGCTGATATCTGCATTGATTTCCACGATATTTAAAATTTGTTCCTCCTGCTCTACAGTAACCTGTCTTTCACGAGTGCGAACATTAGTGGGCTGAACACTTCCTGTATCTCGAAGTCTTTGGTACACTTGCACAAATGTCCTTCTGTCTGGGTGTACCCGTTGGCGAAATCTGCCTTGTGCTGCAAGATTTGAATTCTGACGAACTTCACCGTAAACTAACAACATGTCGGCGAACTCTTGATTCGAGAACATTGTAAATAAACACGACGACGTACGCGAACAAAAACAAAACAACACGCCCGATGCTCTGGTCGACAAAACGATAAAGTAATGTATCTATGCAAAACGATAACTAACCACTATTACCTTTTGCGATCGATTGCCGGTTCGATAAGAGTGATGAATGACCGACGCGCTGTTGTCATGAGTGTTTTGAATATTTAATTTAATGAAACTTACTTGCTGACTACAAATGTTGGCTTAACTTAGAGAAACGTAATGCCATTTATTTGTTAATTACCCAATTTAAAAACGTTTTAGATTATAAAAATTAGTAAGATTGTGGTGATTGTGGTCGATATAAAGCACTTAAAGTTGTAAACTATAAAGCCATTTAGACAAAAATCTATTGACTTTTGGACCGTGACCGCCCCTATTACCCATTTCAATAATGACTCTTATAACGTTTACACCCTGTATATCTCCTACCACTATTTTAACATCCAGTCTTGGCATCTTTCCTAATGACTGATTAACTTCTTCATAAAACTTACTTTTATTATCTATTTCTTTATTTTCAGTTGGAGAGTGAATTTTTGTTATTGAAATCTTTCTATATTTCCCTTGTAATCTAATTCTGCGTTATTCTTTCCGATACTGCTTCAAAATCGACATTAAATGGAGTTTGTTCATTTATCACAAACCTCGTTCCCAAATACCTATTCTCCGCTCTGGTGTTCAAAAACGTATATTTATCTACTAACATTTTAGTTTTGTCTCTTGTAGTGCTAAAATGTCTATTTTATATCTTTTCATAATTTGAATAAAATTTTTCAAAGCCCCCCCTCTTCATACGTGCCTCTGACGTTCCACGTCCAAATTCTAATCAAGCTTGTCTTAAATTGGTTCTTTCGTTTTTCCATAGTCTTGTTTGTAACTCTAATCTTCATCATTTTTGTCGTCGGGTCCTTGTCTATTCAGGGTGATTCTCAAGTCGTGACCAAAAATGAAAAATCATACACAGAACCGCGTTATACATTCCGAATAACACTGGACAACAAATTTTAGTTTTTTAATTGTATCTTGTGGGAAAAGTGCACTTCTTTGTTAATTTTGGGGCGCTGAATCCAAAAATGACAATGAAAAAATTAGTTGCGGTTTAGAAAAAAAACTTTTTATTTTTAAGGATATATTAAAAAAGTAACAAGATTCATATACTTATAAGAATCACTATATGCGCTGTCTTTTTGCTGTTCTTTTATGGATCGTTTCTGGAGCATCTCTACCAAGAGTCCAACAGTAGTCTGCAAGCATGGAAGGATTCCACTTTCCCTGGTACCTTTTTTCCATTGTTGAAATATCCTGTTGAAAACGTTCGCCGTGCTCATCACTTACGACTCCGCAATTGTCAGGAAAAAAGTCCACGTGTGAGTGTAGGAAATGTATCTTAAGAGACATTTTACAGCCCATCTTTTGATACGATGACAGCATATTTTTGACAAGGGTTTTATAGTTGTCGGCTTTTCTATTTCCCAAGAAATTAGTGACCACCAGACGGAAATCATTCCAAGCAGTTTTTTCAATACCTGTTAAAGTGTTTTCAAACTGTGTATCTTTCAAAATATTTCGAATCTGTGGCCCAACAAAAATACCTTCTTTAACCTTTGCCTCACTTAGTCTTGGAAATTTCTGACGCAGGTATTGAAAAGCTGACCCATCTCTATCTAATGCCTTGACAAAGTTTTTCATTAGGCCCAACTTGATATGCAGTGGTGGTAGCAAAATTTTTTTCGAATCTACTAATGGCATATGCTGTACATTTTTTTGACCTGGCTCTAGGAATTGACGAACAGGCCAGTTTTGTCTGGTGTAATGAAGTGCCTTTGCCCGACTGTCCCATTCACACAAAAATAGCAAAACCTTGTGTAGCCTAGCTGCAGCCCAAGTAAAAGTGCAACAACTTTCAAATCGCCACAAAAATGCCATTGGTGCTCATCGTATTTTATGCATGTCAATAGGTACTTCATATTGTCATATGCTGCTTTCATGTGAACTGCATACCCTACAGGAAGAGATGGTAAAATATTTCCAATATGCAATAACACTGCCTTTAAACTCAATGTTGAACTGTCTATAAACAATCTCCATTCTTCTGGGTTATAGTCTTATAGTTTATATTTAAAGCCGCCAGTAAGCCGTTAATGTTACTGCAGAAAACCAAGTTATTCTCCATATTGAAAAATGGTTCTAAGTCTTTGTGGCGTTTACGAAAAACACATACCGAAACATCGTCGTCTAACAAGTTCCACTGCTGCAGTCTTGATCCAAGTAACTCTGCCTTACATTTTGGAAGTTCTAAATCTCTTACAAGATCATTTAATTCTGACTGTGTTATTTTGTGCGGTTGGTGGCATGACGTGCTCGGTATAAAATCAGGATCTCTTGACGTTGATGGCATATCTTCTTCCTGACGAATCACTCGATCGCCATGATCTGATTCGTTTTCTGATTCGCAAGTGTAGGATTCTGGGGGTTTTGGAATAGGATTTTCGTCACTGTGAGGCACAGGTCTCATCGCAGATGGTATGTTTGGGTAGTTAATAACCGATTTTTTTTTCTTGGACATACCTGTGGATTGTCCAGCACAAGGTACCATGCAAAAGTAACAATCATTAATATGATTTGTAGGCTCTCTCCAAACCATTGGGACAGCAAAGCGCATAGACCGTTTTTTGCCATTTAACCAGCTCCTCAGACTTGAAGCACATGTATTACAGCAGATGTGGGGTGCCCACTGTTTGTCTTGATCACCTAGTTTACAACCGAAATAAAGCTGAAATGCCTTGGTTATTAGTGGAGTAATAGACCGTCTCTGAGACGCAAAAGTCACATCACCACACACGTAACAAAACTGATCTGGATTGTTTACACACTTTCGAGACATCTTGCATGAAAGCTGTCAGCCAACTGAGGAAAAAATGGCTGATATAAAACAATATAATGTACACGTATGTATAACGTAACACAATCATGCCGATTACATCATCTTTCCTTGCCGAATATAAAAATGTAGCACGTGCATTCTTGTGAATTACAGTATATTAACACTGTCACAGCAGGAACACATACAATTACCGTATCTCTAAAACTTGAACTAATATTGAAAAAATAAATTTCGTTCCGGTTTTAGCTCATTAAAAATAGTAATATTTTGTTGATTTTATTTAGGATATTTTTTGGCTGTTGATCAGTGAATCTGCCCTCTTGGTTATCCCATCTCCATTCTTCTGTTCTAATGAATAGCTTCCTGAAGCCAATTTTAACCTGTTTGTCTTTGCCTCTTTCCTCATTTGCGCGAATACGTATTTGTTTTTTGTCTAAATAAGATTAAAAAACAAAGCGGAACATCAGAAAGTTCGAAGTATTTTAATTTGGATGGAAGAATGTCATTGTTAACTGTATAAAATGCTTTAGAAAAATCCAATAACACTAGTTTAGTATAAATATGAAGTAGTGCTGTGACTGCTACGGAAACCAGACTGACAATTTGGAAATACGTTTCAAAATACTCTATTAATTGCATATAAACAATGTTTTCCAATATTTTCGATAAGGTATACAATATTCTAATTGACCGTAATCGGTGTTCTGAGTGGTTATTCTTTCCAGGAGAGATATAACAGCATTTGTCCACAAAATTGGGAAGATTTTACAATACTTACTGTAACATGGCTTTGGCTTTCACGCTGGGATCATCTGGACTAAGGTTTTTGAAATCTCCTAACTCTTTGTCCAGAATAGTGTACTGTTTCTGTAGTTTATCCCTAAGTGCCGGTAGTGTGTTTCGTATGTGAGTGGTCAGCTGTTGATTTAAAGTTTTCTGTAGGTAAGGTGTGCCCATTTTACTGGCCAAATGGCGGTATGCAGGATGACTGGAAAATGTGGAAAAATAAAAATAATTAACGCCTTTTTTATTTGTAATACTCGTAATATTACAGGAGGCGAGATTTTGATACTATCCTACCACCAAAACCCCTTAAAAATATGAGATGTATATAAACAAGGCTCGTTTGAATTCTGAAAGTAAAATTTGTTGAAAATTAATACCTGTATACAATAACGACAAAAGAAAGTATAATCAGTATAAAGGCATAAAGAAAACATGTGCTCAGTTAACACTTATGGGTTACATATTTAGCTGCTGATCAAGTAAAGTTTCTTTAACTTTTTTCTTTCTGAAGAATTATATAAGTAATTTGATCGCATTGTAAATATGTGTATTCTGAAAAAGTCGCTCTACATCTAATATTAATATCATGCATATTTCCTTTACATATGAATTTGGCAACTAAATATGACGGGGTGTTTGAGTAAAGAACCATATGAGTTAGAATCTGGTACTTATACATTTTATCAATTTTCATCCATTTGAGGTCATTACCGGCCTTTGATATATGATCATATTTTCTGAGACACTTTACATATATTCATAATATTTTGAATACGATTTCTTGTTTTAATATCCAAATAGGGATAGTAAAGCACTAGGCAATATGATATTTTTGAAAACAAGAAAGATTCACACATTTGCAGATTTATGTAATATAGCCTTATTTGCAAATAAAACAAATTTTAAGTTCCATCCATTATAATACCTATAGTGTATTTACACCAAAGATAGAATAGACGCGTGCTTGCCAAAAGCAAGGACCGCGTACAGGGCCGCATTCAGGGCTACCTCCGAATGATGGACTACCACCAACGTGTTGTAAAACAAACATGACAGTATTTAACAGAAACAGAAACTTAACAAATTACTCAAATACACTTAACAACAACAACAGCAACAACCAAGCAAGGTGAATACGAAAACACGAGCACGCAGTGGTACACGCGGCGGTCGGTCGCCTGAATGCAACTCTGCCTGCCCTGCCCCTGCCCCGAGCATTATTCCGCCAGGCGACCTACATTTTAAATTAGTGTTTGGTCTGTTCGCAAAAACGGGACAGACAGCCTGAAAGCGGGACTGTCCCGACCAAGCGGGACGCAACTTACCCATACAGGTTAAACATAGAGCTTTTATTCATTATTGACAAAACATATCTTTACTTACTGACTTTTTCGAATGGTCTTTGTAGGTGTCTTAGGATATGAAGAAATCAATTTAATTTATCCAAATCACGATCTCCTCAATTGATAATTGGTATTTATTCAAGGGCACTATTTTCAGTGTGTAAATTCAGCATTCCGGAAAATCAGCTTACCTTAAGAAAAACTTCTGCTCCGCTGCCATGGCCGCTTGGATATCTTTTCTTCTATCAATATCAACCTGCGACCTGTTTATCACACCAATGTATCCTCTTCGAAGGGGTAGAAGCCTATTTTCTAAAATTTCTCTAGCATCGGTTCCTTCATCCATTAGATCTAACTTTGTTATAACTCCTATAGTTCTAAAACCTGAGAGACATATACAAATTTTATTTTGATATAGGCACCCTGGGTCAAGAAGACCGTCTATTCTGCAGACTTTTTATTGGAATGTTGCTCATAGCAAGCTCGTGAAATCCTCTTCTAGTGGTTTGGATCAACGAATTCGGACTAGGTAGGAGCTAGCATCGATTTGTTTTGAACCAAAATCACGTTAGCCATTACAAGTCATATCAAGCTCATATTTTTCCGAGGAAACATAAAAGTCCGTGGGTTTCCATACGATCCTAGTGTTCCAGACTTTTGCAGAAAATAGTGAATGTTTGTGTGGATTGCAAAAAGCAGTTAAAGCTGAATAAAAGCAGATTTTTTTTATCGATATGCAGAGTGTTAAATAAATTTAACAGACGAATCTTCAAGCAATTTTTAGACAAAAAGTTCATATGAACATATCCGAAAATTCTTCGAAATAGGGTGTTAAAATTAAAAAAAAAACGTTTTTTCGTGAATATCTTGTAATTTGGCGATGGTATTAACAAAATTAAAGAGCTAATTTAGTCCTAATTTGATTAAATTTATTATGTCCAGTGGTATCTCGAGCGGGATTTGAACGAAACGCGACTGTGTTTCCCGTAGATTACTTCAATTTTAACCCGAACAATTGTTGAAAAAATGGCTTACCTCTAGGATCTACCTCCCTAGCAATCTGGAGAGCATCCGAGTTAGCCAAGTCCTGATTGGCAGGAGTTACTGCTAAGATGAGGCAGGACTCTTTCCTGATGAACTGCAAAATCATATCCCTAATTTGCATCTCAATATCTAGTGGCTGATCTCCTATAGGTACTTTTGTCATTCCGGGCAAATCGATTAGGGTTAAATTTAAAACTAAAACATGGAAAATATTCATAATGTTTATAATTTCGTTTTCTGCAAATATCGTATCGACATCGAATGAGTAAGAATTGACCGTGGCTTCATATGACGTATGTCCTAAAAGTTTTGCCACAAAATATTCATCGGAATTTTTATTTAATGAAGAAATTTATTTAAACACTAACCAGTTATCATACATGACAACTCAACTAAACTATACTATCGAATTATAATAATAATAATAATAATAAATGTCTTTATTAGCAACACAACAATAGGGCGGGGTTTAGCCAGTTGGCTACTCTTACATCCAACCCTATTGTGTGATTAATATGTATACTAAGTGACATATAAATCCGAACACCCAGTTTAAATGGTTTTATTTTAATAAAAGTTGGTGAATGTATTTATCTTACTGTAAATAACAAGTGAAACAATTTTCACCCTTATCAGTTGGACATTCCGGTTTTTATACTGCTTTTTTTAATTCACTAACGCTATAAAAATGAATATTTCAGCCGCAGTAAAGAATCAACGTTGGCGGATTTTGGTTCTTGACATCCTTTACGATCGGTTACGATGCCTAGAGTACGGAGACCTGTACGATTTCGTCAACTTAGTGAGTTTGATAGGGGCCGTATAGTGGGACTTCGGGAAGCTGGACTTTCTTTTCGGGCTATTGCGGTTAGAGTGCAAAGAAGTGTAGACACTGTGGTTAGGTGTTGTCAGGCATGGCTTCGAGAAGGCCGTACGCAAAGAGCAAGGAGCACTAGACGCCGCCGTAGAACAACAGACCGTGAAGATCGCCGCCTAAGATTATTGTCCTTAAGGGACCATTGCAAATGAATGGTTTGCAGAACACGGAAGACCTATTGGCATTCGAAGTGTTTACCGACGAATGAGAAGTTTTGGCTTGTTTTCATACCGGCCACACTGGGTCCTCCCTTTAACTCGAGAACACCGACGTAATCGCCTTGAGTGGTGCAGACAACGGTCACTCTGGGATCAGGAATGGAACAGTATTGTCCTTAGTGACGAGTCTCGATTTTGTTTAGGCATGCACGATGGTCGTGCCAGGGTTAGAAGGCGACGTGGTGAAAGAAGAAATCCACAGTTTTTTGTTGAAAGACATGTTCATCACACTGTTGGAGTTATGGTTTGGGGTGCTATAGCTTATGGTTCCAGGTCACCTTTAATCTTCATCAGAGGTAACATGAATGCGCAGCGTTATATCCACGAAGTTCTAGAACCCCATCGTTTACCCTATCTTGACACCCTGGCAGATCCAACTTTCCAACAAGATAATGCCCGACCACATGTTGCAAGAGTCACAATAGACTTCTTTCAACATAATGATGTCACATTGTTACCATGGCCACCAAGATCTCCCGACTTATCCCCAATTGAGCACGTGTGGGAAATGATGGGTAGGAGATTGCTCATTTTGCAACGTCCTCCTCAGACTCTAGAAGCACTTCTAGAGGAGTTGGTGGTTGCCTGGAATGAGATACCACAGGAGGACATTGACCACCTGATCAGAAGCATGCCTAGGCGCGTTGGAGAATGCGTAGCACATCAGGGTGCATCCACACATTATTAAAGGTCAAAGGGCTTTAAAGCAGTGCAATCATTTTGAAATTTTTATCATTTACTTATTATGCTTCATTAAGTACTTATACAAAATTTTATTAAAATAAAACCATTTAAACTGGGTGTTCGGATTTATATGTCACTTAGTATATTAGCATATGCAGTCTTAATTTGATGTAGGTGGACTTCGATAGATGACACACGTTTGTCAAATCTTAAACTAGAGTCGAAGATGACACCAAGATTTTTTGCTTGTTCCACAATAGGCATGAGCTCGTTGTTGATGCTCAATGCAATTCTATCCCTTACTCCATTTATGTAAATGTTTAGGATAAAAAAGTATGCAAGTACTCTTATCCGGATTAATCTTCAACATGTGTCTTTTACAAGAATCAGGGATGTTGGCAAGATCACAATTTATCTGATATGACACTTCATCCAGATGAGACAAGTCAGAATGAAAAGATAGCTGCGTATCATCTGCGTAAGTTTGTATAGCACAGTGCTCAATACATTAATTTAAATCAAAAGTATATACAGCAGACGCTCGATAACGTAAACACGGGATAATGAAAACTTGCGCTAATGTAAACACAAACTTCGGTCTATAGGATCAAACGGAACGCGCGATAACGTAAACAATGTGTACGTTCGATAACGTAAACAACTCTCGGCGCACGGAAACAGCGCGACGGTAAAATGCTGAAGCCTCGATGATTTATGTCGGGCGTCGGGGAGTCCCCGATTTATGATGTAGAGTGTAGGGGATTCACCTCTAAAATACGACAAACTCGGTCAGTCGTATGATCGTTTAGGATACGTTGATACGTACGTATGTATTTCATTTTTGAACTTAAGTGAATACATTGCACGCGATAATATGTTTTACGACTATGGCATCCACATCCTATAAAAGAAAGTGTTTAAAGTAGAGTGAGAAAGTGAAAATCATAGACCAAGTTGCACTAGGTGCGGGAGTGACACAGTTAGCAAAAAAATATGGAGTATCGAAAGCAACAATCTGTAAAATTAAGCGTATGAAAACTCAAATTTTACAAAGAACGTGCAATACATTTGGAGGTCCGCGAAAAAGAAAAACTTCAAAAAATGCGAAGGCACCTAAAATGGAAAATTCCCTGTACAAGTGGTTTTTAAAACAACAGTTAGTGGCGGAGTACTTAAACAGAGAGCGAGACTGTTAAATGAAAGACTGAAAGACACTGAAAATTTCGTAGCTAGTGATGGCTGGCTACAACGATTCAAAACAAGATATGGAATTCGACTGCTGTCTATATCTGGTGAAAAATTATCAGCACAACCACAATTAGTGCAACCATTCAAAGAAAAATTGATGGAAACAATTACCGAGCTAGATTTAAAAATGGAACAAATTTACAACGCAGATGAAAGTGGCCTTTATTGGAAAATGTTACCAGAGAAAACCTATGCTGCATCATTTGAAAAATCTGCCCCGGGAAGAAAGCCGGAGAAACAACGAATAACGTTTCTAGCCTGCACTAATGCTAATGGTTCACACAAAATAAAGCCACTGGTAATTGGGAAAGCAAAAAATCCGCGCTCATTTAAAAATGTTAATATCCCTGTTGATTATGACTGTTCAAAAACCGCTTGGATGACTAGCAGTATATTCCTGAAATGGTTCCACAGGTGCTTTGTCCCTCAGGTATGACAATCAATTATTACAAATGCTCTATTCATAATTTGAAGATGTGTTTTCAATTTGTAGGTAAAAGGTTTCCTAAAACAACAGAAGCTTCCAATAAAAGCGTTGTTACTATTGGATAATGCACCAAGTCATCCTCCCGAGCAACAACTGAGGAGCAGGGATGGGTCAATTTTCGTCATGTACATGCCGCCCAACGTAACACCGTTAATTCAACCGATGGACCAGAATATAATAAGACCCACCAAACTATACTGTAGGAAGTTTCTACTTTCGTCTGTCTTATCAAAGAATCCTGAAAACTTATTTGAGGCTTTAAAAAAGTAACATTACGAGAAGCTGTTTTAGATTTACATATGGCCTGGAATGAACTTAACCAGCAAACTATTCAAAAATGTTGAAACAATCTCTTTTGTACCAATAATGAAGATGATGAAGAAGACGATGCCCCCTTAAGCGTAATTAGAGAACGTTTGCGATCCAATAATGATAATGTTATTAGTGTGTCATTGGATGTTGTTGATTTATTGAAAACAGTGAATCCCAACATTGTTTGTACTCCTGTCGATATTAATTTATGGAACGAAGATAAGCAGACGAATGATGCTGATAAGGAGGAGGATATGGACAGTGAGGATGATGAGAACGATCCCATTGAAGTCAGACGCGCAAGCTATACAAGTTTTTAACCAAGCTTTAGATTGGGCTAAAAGAAAAGAAGTTTCATACACGGATATTTTAGTTCTTCGTAAATTACGGGCGCAGGCATTGGAAGACAATGCTAAGCGCAAATTTACGCAGACAAAAATTGTTAATTATTTTTCTTCTAATTAAAAAAAATACTTATCGCTGTTAGAGTATTTGTTTATTTTGTTATAAATAGTATGTTTTAAACGTTTCTTTTAATAAATCAAATATTATATAAATCACGTTCGCTAATGTAAACATTTCGATAATGTGAACCACACTTGGATTAAATTAGTTTACATTATCGAACGTCTGCTGTATCAAATACAGTAAAGGACCTAAGACAGAGCCCTGCGAGACAGAAGAAACGGCAACAAGATAAGACACCTCTAACTGTCTTTACGATTAGTTAAGAAATTTTCAAAAAATGTAAGCGGAATGTCAGAAAGTCCAATATGCTTTAACTTACTCAACAAAATTTTATGGTTAACAGTGTCGAACGCCTTAGAGAAGTCGACCATAACTAAAACTGTAATAATATGTTTATCCATATTACGAGTATTTAAGATATTGTCTGTCAAATGGAAGAAGTGAAGAAGTTGTATTGTATCCAGCACGAAATCCAGACTGATAGCTAGGAAGTAAATTGTTCATCTCTAAATATTCAATTAGTTTGAGATAAACAGCTTTTTCTAATATCTTTGAAAAGAAACACAGTATGCTGACGGGTCGTAAATGATCAAGAGTTATGTTTCGAAACATATATTAACAATATGAGTTAGATACTGAAGTACTTCAGGTAAAAAAAGGCCAAACATGTCCACACCAATACCATCACAGCCTATTGCAGTCGACTTTATAGAGTCAAAAATATTGGAGTGTCCCATTCTACAGGGTGTTTCAGTTTATTGTTGCATAACTTTAAGATTCGATAGAACTTTTAAAATTAATGCATAAAGCCTATATAAACATGGGTCGAAAAATGCGTAGCTTCGGAAATACAGGGTGTTTAAATTTACTTTCTAAAATAGTTTGTTTTAAATATTTCGAACAATATTTGATGTATAACAGTAAAAATTGGTACACAAGGGTTTTTAGGTACGACAAAACGAACCATGGGCATAGTTTTACTGTAGCCGCTAGGGGGCGCTCTCTACTGTACCTGTAGTGTATTAAAATGACCGAAAATTTTTTCTTAGCGCAATTTTTTGCTTTTTGAATAAAAAAACTGATTCTTCGCACTTTTCAACATAAAAAAGCTCTCTTGTGAATTTTCGTTATAGTTAGCCGTTTTTGAGATATTTCGATTTTTAAGGTTCGATGCATTTTTAATTATTTATGGGAAAATAATATTTTTTTTTAAATTTTCGATTTGGGCATTAAAAGTAATTAAGATGATCGTTTAGATTGTGTTTTTAAACACAGCAATAATTCCTAACTCCAAATAAACACAAAAAACAGAATATTAATTTGTTTAATTTTCCAATATTATTTTTAACAAATTAAATTAATTATTTACAACTAAAATGCTATTGGATAGTTAGGACAAACATACAAAATCTAAAGTAGTTGCTCGAAATGTACACCCAATTGTTCAATACACAATTCACATCTACGGATGATCGAACGTGGTATAGCATTATTCAAATAAGGCCTTATTTCATCACATGCATTCCTGATTCTGTCTATTAGCATATCTCTTGTGGTTACGGGAGTCTGGTACATTTTTTTTAGAAATCCCCACACAAAGAAATCTAATGGATTTAGGTCAGGGGATCGTGGAGGCCAGGCGACTGGTCCTCCACGGCTGATCCATCTTTCTGGATAATTTTCGTCCAGCCAGTTTCTAACTATTCTCGAATAATGAGCTGGACAACCATCAAGCTGGAACCAGGCCAATCTTCTTAAATCTAACATAACATCATCCCACATATTTGCATGTTCAGCCTTTAAAAATTCCAAGAAGGTCGCAGCATTTAACCTTGCATGCAAAAGGTAAGGTCCAAATAGTCGATTACGGTAGATACCAATCCACACGTTCACACTAAATGCATGCTGAAAATTTCTTTCCCGAACTGCATGCGGATTTTCTTGCGACCAAATATGTTGATTATTAAAAATTTACCACTCCACGTCTAGTGAAGCATGACTCATCGGTCCATAAAACGTTACTTAAAAACTCCCTATTATTATCAGTTCTATCAAGAATCCACTGACAAAATGTGATTCTTCGTTCTCCGTCCCCTGGCTGTAGTCCTTGCACAGGTTGCAAATGGTAAGGATGGTCTATGGTCATTTCTAAGCACACGGTGAACATGGCTTGCTGAAATTCCCAAGGCACCAGAAACTCTCCTAACACTTGTGGTCGGATCTCTATCAAACTCACGCGGAATCATACGGGTAAATCTGCGCTGACGAACATGTATGTTTTGATCCCTTTGGAGATTTCCAAAACCATTTTTAATTATTTGGCGATGCACTCTTACAAATACTGAGCGAGTTGGATGTCGTCTGTTTGGAAATCTTCGTGCGTATTCTCTGGCTGCTTCTGCTGCGTTTCCATTTACAAAGCCATACACAAAATGAATATCCGCTAACTTTTGATTGGAGAATAAAAATGGCATTTTTATAAATCTTACAAAAAAAAACAGGTAAAAGAAACTAAATTTCGGGCATTCACAATTGCAAAAAAACGTTACAGGTTTCAACAGACAACAAAACTAACTGTCAACTAATTGACGTTTAACCTTATTCTGCTTTCAATTTCAAAAATATTTGCAGGCACAGCCTACTTCTAAAAATTATCGAGATACTGACTTTTTAACGTTATTTTATCATAAATAATTAAAAATGCATCGAACCTTAAAAATCGAAATATCTCAAAAACTATAACGAAAACTCACAAGAGAGCTTTTTTATGTTGAAAAGTGCGAAGAATCAGTTTTTTTATTCAAAAAGCAAAAAATTGCACTAAGAAAAATGTTTTGGTCATTTTAATACACTACAGGTACAGTAGAGAGCGCCCTCTAGCGACTACAGTAAAATTATGCCCATGGTTCGTTTTGTCGTACCAAAAAACCCTTGTATACCAATTTTTACTGTTATACATCAAATATTGTTCGAAATATTTAAAAAAAACTATTTTAGAAAGTAAATTTAAACACCCTGTATTTCGGAAGCCACGCATTTTTCGACCCATGTTTATATAGATTTTATGCATTCATTTTAAAAGTTCTATCGAATCTTAAAGTTATGCAACAATAAACTAAAACACCCTGTATATATAAACAATTGTCAACTGACAGTAAAGTAAGTAAACTTTTGTTTCCAAAGGCAACTTATTTTGTGTTTGTTAAAATTAAAGCCAATGATTTTTGTGCCATATCTTTTGGGACATACGTTAGCAACAATTACTCAAAGTTACACATTTCTATCTTGATACACAATTGAGTTTGCAAGGAAAGCATATAGCTAGAAGTTACTTTGAAACAAAACCGTACTTCTTGAAAATATTGGACAGTTGCTCTGCTAAGGTTCAAGATTTCTTTAGATGCTGGTATGATTAACGAAGATTAGGTATCTATCTAGTACTGTAACTACTTACCATTGGGTGAATATACCCGTAGGTTGATAGGTATGCTGGATATCCCTTTATTGTGTCCAGTTACTCTATTTGTTTCTGCTTCAATCTCTTTCCTAACCTCATCAAAATCCGTAAATTTTTTGTTTTTGCAATGTATGAATTCGGCATATTCTGCAAAATAAAGGTGTTTATGATAAGTTAAATATATTTCTAGCTCTGCTTTAGTCCAAGCATGTACAGGGTGACCAATCTAAAAATGCTGGGTACTCTAACTGGGAACCCAGAGCTTAATGATATACGATCAGAAATGTTCAAGAAAATTTCATCCGAAATTAATAAGCCCTTGACGTACATAGCGAACTTGATAATTGAGTCGGGAGAATTTCCAGATGATTATCAAGTAGGAGTAGTAAAACAAATAGTAAAACAAATAAACAAATCCGGTGAAAAAATAGATACTAACAATTACATGCCTATAACTGTAATGTCCAGCTTTGCAAACATTATTGAGAAAATGATAAAAACACGACTTCTAAATTTTTTGATAAACATAATCTGATTAATGAAAAACAATTTGGATTCCAGAAAAACAAGTCTACCCAAGACGGAATTTCTTTTTTGACATCAAAATTATACAAATTACTGGACCAAAGTGCATATACCCTGTGTGTGTTGTTAGATATAGCAAAAGCATTCGACACATTAGACCACTTGCTACTATTCGAAATCTTACACGACTCAGGAATTAGAGGCAAGGCTTATAACCTCATGAAAAGTTACCTTTCCAACAGAACACAGTGCGTGCAAATAAATAATTCCTTAAGCACAAATAAATTGATAACGTATGGTGTCCCACAAGGGACAGTGTTAGGCCCCTTATTATTTACACTTTACATTAATAGTCTGCTGAGCTTAAAACCTGAAGGGACAATCATATGTTTTGCAAACGATACTGCTACCATCTGTTCGAATAACAACTCGTGGGATAATCTAAAAGTGAAGGCTGAAAGAAACTTAACAATAATTGCAGATTGGTTCAGACATAAATGCCTACCTATTAATTTTCAAAAGACTATGTTCATGCCATCCACAAATCACAGAAACAGATTACCATCCTTTGTATCTATCCAGATTAACTATGATAATATAAATACTCAAATAAATTTAACAAACAAAATAAAATATTTAGGTGTATATTTAGACTCGCATTTAAAGTGGAATATACATATTGATCATGTAATAACCAATTTGAGACCATTATTGTTTAAATTCAAGTACCTAAACAAATATTTGAAAAAAAAACAATCTAAATTTTATATCATGCTATGATCGAAAGTCGCATAAGTTACGCAATATTAGGTTGGGGTGGAGCACTTAATAACCAAATTAATAAATTAGAAATTATCCAAAAACAATTTTTAAAAATAATCTTGACAAACCACTCTTATACCCATCTGATCTGTTTTATTCTGAAGCAAAACTATTAGACCCTATAAACATGGGTCGAAAAATGCATGGTTTCCGAGATACAGGGTGTTTAAATTTACTTTCTAAAATAGCTTTTTTTTTAAATATTTCGAACAATATGTGATGTATAACAGTGAAAATTGGTATAAAAGGGTTTTTTGGTACGACAAAACGAACCATGGGCATAGTTTTACTGTAGCCGCTAGAGGGCGCTCTCTACTGTACCTGTAGTTTATTAAAATGACCGAAAATTTTTTCTTAGTGCAATTTTTTACTTTTTGAATAAAAAAACTGATTCCTCGCACTTTTCAACATAAAAAAGCTCTCCTGTGAGTTTTCGTTATAGTTAGCCGTTTTTGAGATATTTCGATTGTTAAGGTTCGATGCATTTTTAATTATTTATGGGAAAATAATATTTTTTTTTACATTTTAGATTTGGGCATTACAAGTAATTGAGATGATCGTTTAGATTGTGTTTTCAAACACAGCAATAATTCCTAACTCCAAATAAACACAAAAAAACAGAATATTAATTTGTTTAAATTTCCAATATTATTTTTAACAAATTAAATTAATTATTTACAACTAAAATGCTATTGGATAGTTAGGACAAACATACAAAATCTAAAGTAGTTGCTCGAAATGTAAACCCAATTGTTCAATACACAATTCACATCTACGAATGATCGAACGTGGTATAGCATTATTCAAATAAGGCCTTATTTCATTACATGCATTCCTGATTCTGTCTATTAGCATATCTCTTGTGGTTACGGGAGTCTGGTACACTTTTTCTTTTAGAAATCCCCACACAAAGAAATCTAATGGATTTAGGTCAGGGGATCGTGGAGGCCAGGGGACTGGTCCTCCACGACCGATCCATCTTTCTGGATAATTTTCGTCCAGCCAGTTTCTAACTATTCTCGAATAATGAGCTGGACAACCATCAAGCTGGAACCAAACCAATCTTCTTAAATCTAACATAACATCATCCCACATATTTGCATGTTCAGCCTTTAAAAATTCCAAGAAGGTCGCAGCATTTAACCTTGCAGGCAAAAGGTAGGGTCCAAATAGTCGATTACGGTAGATACCAATCCACACGTTCACACTAAATTCATGCTGAAAATTTCTTTCCCGAACTGCATGCGGATTTTCATGCGACCAAATATGTTGATTATGAAAATTTACCACTCCACGTCTAGTGAAGCATGACTCATCAGTCCATAAAACGTTACTTAAAAGCTCCCTATTATTATCAGGTCTATCAAGAATCCACTGACAAAATGAGATTCTTCGTTCTCCGTCCCCTGGCTGTAGTCCTTGCACAGGTTGCTAACGGTAAGGACGTCTATGGTCATTTCTAAAAACACGGTGAACATGGCTTGCCAAGGTACCAGAAACTCTCCTAACACTTGTGGTCGGATCTCTATCAAACTCACGCAGAATCATACGGGTAAATCTGCGCCGACGAACATTTATGTTTTGACCCCTTTGGAGATTTCCAAAACCATTTTCAATTATTTGGCGATGCACTCTTACAAATACTGAGCGAGTTGGATGTCGTCTGTTTGGAAATCTTCGTGCTTATTCTCTGGCTGCTTCTGCTGCGTTTCCATTTACAAAGCCATACACAAAATGAATATCCGCTAACTCTTGATTGGAGATTAAAAATGGCATTTTTATAAAACTTACAAAAAAAGCAGGTAAAAGAAACTAAATTTCGTGCATTCACAATTGCAAAAAAACGTTTCAGGTTTCAACAGACAACAAAACTAACTGTCAACTAATTGACGTTTAACCTTATTCTGCTTTCAATTTCAAAAATATTTGCAGGCACAATCTACTTCTAAAAATTATCGAGATACTGACTTTTTAACGTTATTTTATCATAAATAATTAAAAATGCATCGAACCTTAAAAATTGAAATATCTCAATAACGACTATTTATAACGAAGATTCACAAGAGAGCTTTTTTATGTTGAAAAGTGCGAAGAATCAGTTTTTTATTCAAACAGCAAAAATTGCACTAAGTCATTTTAATACACTACAGGTACAGTAGAGAGCGCCCTCTAGTGGATACAGTAAAACTATGCCCATGGCTCGTTTTGTCGTACCAAAAAACCCTTGTATACCAATTTTCACTGTTATACATCAAATATTGTTCGAAATATTTAAAAAAAAACTATTTTAGAAAGTAAATTTAAACACCCTGTATTTCGGAAGCCACGCATTTTTCGACCCATGTTTATATAGACTTTATGCATTCATTTTAAAAGTTCTATCGAATCTTAAAGTTATGCAACAATAAACTGAAACATCCTGTATATAAAATTATAAATTATCAATTTCACCGTAGAAATAATCTTATTCCGTTAGATCACGTATATCAAATTAGAAACAAAATCAACAACATCAAGCAAACACCTTTCACCTCAAAAAGTATAGGCCAAAGATGTCATACCTTTCCAGTAGATTATATAACATATTACCAAATTATGTAATATTTGTAAATATTTCAAATAAAACAAACTTCAAAATTGAAAAAAAGATATAATTGAAAAATTCGACATCAAATTGCAAACATGATACGTATGAAAGAAATATAAAATCAGTGTAATAGTAAAGACCCTCCAACGTTCATATACTCGTATATATTTATTTATATATATTATGTTGCGTTCACGTTCCCGACTGACCCATTTTGTGCCTTCTTGGTAAGAATACCCCTACATACATGGTAATTATATGTTAAAATGCTTTAAATGCGGTTCAAATGACCCGTATTTCACGTATTTTGGGCTGCCAATATCGAATCCGAGGTCGTTTTACATGTATGTGACCCCGTTTATGATGTAGATCTAATTACTTAGCGAAAATTGCAAAAACTAGGCGTTTTTTGCGACTTTAAGGTGCTAAAAATCCATTTTTACTATCGATGGCTACATGAGAGTGGAGCTTTGCACAATGAGATAATTTGGGGCGCTGAATATGAATATCACAATGAAAAATTTCTTAAGTGTTATCAGACTGGATTTAGGGTAAAAAGTTGACAGGAAACTATTTTTCCGGGCTAGCCGTAAATTCTAGTAATGTATCGACATCGAATTTGGAATCTACGCACCCGATTTACCCAGAAAACAAGTTTCCATCTCGATCATAGACGCGCCAGGGTTTTTAGAAATTTTTTATTAGTCGTTTTTTGACAAAGTTGAATTCTTGCCGGTATCTTGAAAACGAGGCATTTTCGGACGGAATGAGCCATGGATTCGGTTTCAGCGACCTAAAAAGCGTATTATACGATAATTTATGTGTATATATCTGTATGTGCATCTATGTATGTGTTTATTTATATGTATACGTATGTTTGTATATTTATGTAAAAATGTAAGTTAATACCCACGCACAAGAATTTATTCTTCTGTGGGTAAATTCAGTTTATTTACGTATACCTATGTTAGTTTTAGTTATATTTGTATGTTACGTGAATAAACTTATTATTATTATTATTTTACAAGTTTCTGAAATGGCCGCTAGTGGGGTAACTGCAATCTTAAGTCAAAAAAGAGATGTTTCTGTGAATTCCGTTATATTAACCTAACAAAAAAGTACCTGATCTTTAAGGTCGAGGATAATGTGAACTTTTTTTGTTCGACAATGTTTGCTGTATCTCTAAAAATAAAGTGGGGGTATCTCAAATGTTTCCGTAAAAACACGGTCTTCGAAACGGCTGAGTCGATTTTAACAAACTTGGGCTGGTTCAAAAGAGCTATTCTTGTGCTACAAATTTTATAATATTTGAAGTTTTGGTAGTTTCACATATGTCCGCTAGATGGCATTTTTTGACATTCCGAGAGAAATGGTTAATTTTCTCAAAAAAAAAAATGATTGCATTGCTATGATTTTTTATGGAGAAGTATTCAGGCCAAAGAAAATTTGAGACGGAAACCCTTTACATTTTTTTTTAACTAATTTTTCTGGAATTCCTTTTATTATCAAGTTGTGGCCCTAACCATAAAATATTTTTAATCTCCCGTAAATGCTCTATGCATTCCTAAGCCTCTCGTGGCTCTCGGTATGTTACGATTGCATTACGAATCCGGTTTTTCGTATCTTCTCTGGTTGTAGGTTGAGTCTGAAACACGATGTCCTTTAACCGTCCCGTCAAATGTTTATTCATATATTGTGAGCTGTAACACCAAACTGATGTTTTCATTAGAATATAATCTTACGTCTTACCATATTTGGAGTTGATGAGCTGTAAAATTAGGGGTCTTCTGGTAACTATGCCGGTGCCTCGAGGTAGAAAATCCCTGTAAACAAATAAATACAGTTATAATGGTGAAACTGCAACCTCATTGTGTATTAAAGTAGCGTGGTAATATCACAAAAATCCTGTATAAGTGATGCAAAACCACTTGCATTTCCGTTGTTTAATATCATTTTGCACAAATATGTGAGTGAGATAAGAAATTGTACTAATACATGGGACGAATTGAGCCAGTCGTTGCCGAATCCATGTGCTTTATCATTTTTAACACGCTTTTATAAGCTTGATTAATATGAAATGCAGTAATTTGATAACAGTAATAATAATAAATCGTCTTTATTTATAAAGTTACATAGTATCGGTCGAAGTTAGCTAAATAGCTACTCTTCCACTTAACCCTATTATTTTCATGGTTGTGAACCAATGTAAATACATGCAATTAACATGTATATATACAGTTGCTAACCAAAGGAAAACAAAAATATTGCAAGACATAATATAGAAAATATAAACACGTCAAATAAATTTTTTTCTGGCGGTTACTAATCTAAACTACAAACTACTACTTAATTACTACTAAGAGTCATTTTAGATAGCAAATGCTGCTTGACACAAACTTTAAATTTAGTTTCAGATAAATTTTTGAATGCATCAGGTAGCACGTTATACAATTTGACACAATTATACCTAAAAGAACGAGTAAATAAAGCCGTACGGTGCCGTGGAATATCTAATAATTTGCCATACCTGAGCATGCGATCTCTAACAGATTGCCTGAAAACAATTTTTTTGAAGAGGTATGCGAGAGTTCCCGTGATAATCAAATAATGAATGAACTTCAAGATAAAATACTCGTAAGAACTATTAATATCGAACCATTTTAAACTACGAATACAGTGTGAAACATGGTCATACTTTCTTAAACCGTAGATGAGGCGACAGCACGAATTTTGAATCAGTTGAAGTCTGCGAATTGAGACTTGATCCAAGTAAGGATAGAAAACTATAAGGCTGTAGTTGATTTTTGAGAGAACTAGGCTTTCACAAAGATGTTTTTTCAATTTGAAATTGATGAAATGCCTATTAACAAACAATGTTTTTAGTACCACAAAGCAGTTTCTTACTAATTTAGATATATGCTCACGAAAATGTAAATCCTTGTCAAGTAATACACACCCAAATTTTTTGCAAGATCCTCATAAACTAAAGAAGTGTTATTAATGCGTACTGTCGTGTTATTTCTGATATTAATGATTTTGTTTTTTTGGTGCAAAGAGAACAGCTTTAGATTTAGAGGCATTTAGCGTTAAGGATCTATGCTTGGAAAAACTAACAATAGTGGCTAAGTCACAATTCAACTCGTCAACAGCTGCTACACAGTCATCTGGAAAAGTTTTACATATCTGTGTATCATCCGCAAAAATCATCACTTCAGAGGAGCGTATCAGTTTACACATGTCTGATATGTAAATGGAGAACAATAGCGGTCCTAAAACAGAGCCTTGAGGGACCCCTGATATCAATCACATTCTTATATGTCGAATATGAGTTGTCCAAATGTACCCTTTGCATACGATTCATGAGATAACTAGTAATGAACTTGATAGATACTTGAGAAAATCCAATATATTTGCATTTTGAGATCAAAAGTGAATGATTGATAGTGTCAAAAGCCTTGGAGAAGTCAAGCAGTACAAGAGCCGCTGCTGGACCCCGATCCAAAGCCTCAACAATATCATCAGTCACCTTAAGCAGGGCAGTGATGGTGCTATTCCCTACTTTGAAGCCAGACTGGTTTTTTGGAAGTATGTTATTCTCAGAGCAGTACCCTTTCAATTGATCATGTACTATCCTTTCCAATATTTTTGATAGAATCGGAAGTAAACTTATTGGGCGCAGGTCGGAATAAGCTGAAGGGTTATTAGTTTTTGCCAAGGGAACAATTTCTGCTTGCTTCCATGCAGAGGGAAAATAGTGAAGTTCCAAACAAGAATTAATCAAATGCGTTAAATATTTGCCAATCACAGGAAGACACAGTTTTATCATATTAGGCGTAATACCATCATGCCCACAGGCATTAGATTTTATTTTAAATAAATGCGAACGTATATCTTCCTCAGTGGTCATGACCAGATCAAATTTGAGCGATTCATCAAGTATGTTATTATCATAAAATTCTATTTCACTAGCACAGATAAAAACAGATAAAAAATAATCATTTATCTGCGTTGCGTTACGTAAACTAACAGGTATGTGGTTACGCTTCTTAGTCTGCATGTTCAAATTCCTTATACCCTTATATAAAGAAGATGAATTATTTGTTTCTTGTAAGTGCTGAAGATAACCAGCCTTTTCTCTACGCTGTGATGCAAGAGCATAATTTCTCAGTTCTGTGTATTCTGTCCAGTTCTGATTTGTCCTATTGTGTTTGTATCTTATTACAGCTGCATCCCTCTGCTTGAAAATAGCTCTCAAGTTTTGCGTTAGCCACGGAGCAAAGGGCTTGCTTACCCTCGCTGTACGCAACGGTGCATGTATATCGAACAAAGAAATTATATGGTCATTTAGAAATTCCACTTTGTCATCAATGTCTCGAATATAAATAATATCATTCCAGTTTATACTCAGTAAGTCGGCCATAAAGTTGTCATGATCAAAATTTTTGAAATCACGGTAAGTGACAATTTTTTGTGGGGCCTGATGTTTATCAAAAGATGCTTCACAGTAAACCAACCTATGATCGGTGAAAACATCTACATTTAGTGTACCAATATTATGACACTGTTCAGGAAAACTTACAAAAATAGGATCTAGTAATGTAAGAGAAGAAGAACAAATTCTTGTAGGCTCGTCAATCAATTGTTTAAAAGAATATGAGTCGAAGCAAAGAGATATTTTGTTACTTACATTTAGCAAATTGACATTTACATCACCCAATATGATAACATGGTCGTAAACAGTAGACAAATGCGATAAGAGTGTATATAGAGTTTCAACTGCAGAATTGAGATTAGCCTTAGGAGGTCTGTACAACAATCCTAAGGCAACTGAGGACGACTTGAATTGAAGTTTCAACCAAAATTGTTCAATTACTCAATTACTGATGGATCATCTCCAATATAATCAGTTATAGAAATATGTTCACACTTTATATCATCATTTATATACACACCTATTCCGCCACCCCTACTGTCTCTATCCTTCCTATGAAATGTATAACCATCTATAGACAAAGTATCTGAAGGAACCATCTCAGTCAGCCATGTTTCAGTGAGGGCAAATACATCAATTTTTTTTTCTTTGATGAGGACCGACAGGTCAGTGAATGAAGGTACAAGGGAACGAATATTGACATGTCCAAATTTCACTGAGCTTACCTTCACCATAATCGATCCTACTTTTTAATTTAGAGATGTCCCTTAAGTACATAGGGCAAGTCATATCCCTTGCTGAATGGTCCACTGCAATGTTTTCCTTCTTCCAATGATTATAATTAATACAGCTACTACATGATTTATTTGTAGATTTACATTCTTTTAAGCAATGGTTTCCGGAACAAGAAGGTCATCTAGCAGATGCAGATCTGCACTGCTTATCAGTATGATCAAACACTGAGCACTTTTAGCATTGCACAATTTGAAGGTGATCGGTAACTGCACATCTCTTCCAACCGATATAAACGTATTCTTGCACCATTACTTTTTTCCGGACCTCCCGAGAAACCTCTAAGATGAGGTCACAGCCATTCCGCATTTTTAATTTGGTGATCACTTTTATATCCGAAGAATTGAAGGTATCCAAGTTTTTTTTTTGACAAAATAGGCTGCCTATTATTTGATCGTCACTGTTTAGATCCTCTGTTATTTCAACATTCTTCACACGAATGCGTGGTTTATGTGTTTTTGCCTCATCGACAACGTATTCGTCTCCTAACTGGGTTTGTAGAACGTCTTTGAAGTTTTCCATCATCATTAATTAAAACCGCCAGGATTGATGAATTCTTTTATAGATCCTCTGTAGGAGAATAAGAGAGCTAGCGTGCGATCTGCGCATGCGTGCAGTTTCGGACTTACTCTTTGTTGGTTTGGGCTCTCCTTATACATGCGTAGGTACTAATGAGTTTAATACACGTGAACTACTGTTTATAATATTCATATAATATGTTATATGATAACCGTGATTCACAAAAGGATTCTTATTCATAATAAAATTATCAGAACATACATTTCAATCTATTTATTTATGAAACAAAATTTGGTAAACAGCTAAGCTTCGAATTTACAGTCGATAAAGAAGGAATTTAATACGATCAAATAATTTGTAATTATAAAGTCTTATTGATTAAAATACAAATAACGAATTTGAATTAAACAAAAAATTGATAAATCGAACAAAAAATGAAAAATAAATCATAGTTTGAAAAAACAAAAAAACACGCTTTTATAGCTAATCGACCTAAAAAGTAGAAAATAATTTTTAATTACAAAGAGTTTCTACAGTAGTAGATGGTCGAAAAAACTATTACTTATTATTTTAAGAATCCCCTAAAATACTATGGGTTGTGAAATTGCTTAGATGATGAACACATTTTCAGTAAAACATAGGATTTGAAATTATCTTGAATCAAGTACTACTTACTACTACGGATACAGTGGACCCCCGATAATCCGGCCCCTGTCTAATCCGGCGCTCCCTGTAATCCGACATGTCTTTGAATATGTATTACATACATACGTATTTGACAATCTTCGCTAAACTTGTACGCGCCACCGCTATCGTGCTCGACGCGTAAGCATTGTTTTACTTAATTTGGATTTGACTACTTGTGATAGCGGTATGGCCTAGCGTGCGTTCATTGTTTACTATTTATTCATTGTGTATTAAGTATAGTACCTAGTAATGTCATCACAAACTCAGAAGCGAAAGCACAAAACATTGACAATTAAAGAAAAATGAGATATTTTAGACCGCTTAAATCGCAATGAAACTTTCAGTAGTTTAGCAAGTGAGTGCGGCGTAGGCCGATCTACAATTTATGACATT